GGGCTCGAGGTGCAGGCGGTGCCGAAGAGTTTGCACAGGAAAAGGTACGCCGCGGACAGGGGCCGGAGGCGAAGATCTGGAGGATGAGCGATGTGGTGTTGCCGTCAACGGCACGTCGTGAACACCAGCCTCAAGCATTGCAGAGGAGGAAGAAAACCACACACAGACACACTGCAAAGTCGACTTCAAGAAATACGGGAGACTACAGTGCCGTCTTTAATGCATGCTCCGCGTGCGGATCGTGTATTAAAGATGTTGGGCTTTGGTGAGTTCATGCATCCATTTATTCATACATTCATCATGTCTTTTAATCCTCTATGTTTAAGAATCGTATGTATTAAAAACTGCCCTGTACGGGAAACTATGGAAGTGGGGGAAAGCGAACACCCTGAGCGCATTTAGGGAAATACGGAGAATCCTGGCATTCGTGTGTCTTTCTCTGTGTGCCCTTGGGTCCCTGCAGTGTTGCACCACTGAGACTGTACAACGCAGCTTGCACCACACAGGTTGCACTACGTATAGCTTCCATCACACAGCTTACACCACCAAGCTTGCCCCACGCAAACTGCCCTCTCAACTGAAACGTAGACTCCCGCATTCTCCCTGGCCCGGGCTTATCGATACCCAATGGGGTGGTACACATTTCATAGGATTCTGCCCTGTCGTTTTACCCCCGTGCGAACTCATAACTTCCTACTGGGGCGGGTCTTGGCACCCCCCCTTTCCAGATAATACCATGCGCGCGCACTCGTCTATTTCAAAAGATCAGGTCGCAAGATCGGCACGCCAACCAATTCAGCAATGTCCGCACGCGCGCACACATGCCTGCCACACCAAGCACGTATCAAGCTTGAGAGTGTGTCAACATAAAAGGCACCATCTAGTCAAGCCGTGTCGTCAAACATCTTGCAAATTCCCTGTCCGCGAGCACCTGCTGAATTCATGACACAGACGATTGATTTTGACACCTTCGTCCCGAGCCCGCATTCTCATGCCACCACGTGGAGGAGGAGGAGGAGGAGGAGGATGAGGAGGAGAAGGAAGAGGAGGAGGAGGAGGAGGAGGCGGAGGAGGGAGGAGGAGGAGGGGAGGAGGAGGAGGAGGAGGGAGGAGAGGAGGAGGAGAGGAGGAGGAGGAGGAGGAGGAGGAGGAGGGAGGAGGAGGAAAAGCTGCCCGAGCTGCCCTGTCAGGCGCCCGGTTCAATAGTCCGCACCACGTATTGTCATGCGGGCCCCGCGCGCGCACGCCGCCACGAGCGCGTCGCGAGACCCGTCGAAGATCTCCGGCGTTCGACTGATGAGCCCTGCTTCCTCCTCCTCCTCCTCCTTCTCCTCCTCCTCTGCTCCTCTCCTCCTCCTCCCTCCCTCCTCCTGCTTCTCCTCCTCCTCCTCCTCCTCCCCCCCCTCCTCCTACTGCTCCTTCCCCTCCACCTCCTCCCTCCTCCCCCTCTTCCTTCTCCTCCTCGTCCTCCTCCTCCCTCCTCCTCCTCCTCCTCCTCCTCCTCCTCCTCCTCCTTCTCGTCCTCCTTCTCCTCCTTCTCCTCCTTCTCCTCTTTCTCCTCGTCCTCGTCCTCGATCTCATCCTCCTCCTCACATATGTCAGCAGCATGTTTTTTTCACGAAGAAGTGTTCCGGATGTGTTGGGCTTCTGCGCGTTCGCCCTTCCTCCGATCACCCTCAATCCACGCCATCGCGCCACCGCCATCATCATCATCATCATCATCATCATCATCATCATCATCATCATCATCATCATCATCATCATCATCATCATCATGAGAATCATCATCATCATCAGCATCATCATCATCATGGCCAATCTTTGTTACTGCCGACATGGTCGAGACAATCACCGTCATCATCGACACATGGACATCATCGCTTGCATCGTCGTCACCAGCATCGGCGCTGTCATGGGCCTTGCCGTCGTCATCACCATCATCGCCACCACCATCGGTCCTATCACCATCGTCGCCGATGCTGCCGACTTCATTATGATACCTCGCCTGCGAAAGTCATCGACATGCACTGAAGTGCCCGCAGGCCAGCGCGGCTTTTAAGACGCGTTGGGAAGGTTGCATCGGCAATCGTCATCGTGGTCACACCAGTTGTGGCAACCGGCTGGTCGCCCTGCGCGCGATCGAGCGCGCGCCAGCGCGGCCGCACGGATGCGGTGGCGAGTGCCAATCGGCAGCCGCACTCGTGGCCGCATGGGTTTATATAAGTTGCGGGTGGGAGAGTGGAGTGGTTGCGCGAGCGGTGGAGCTGACACCTCACGAGCCGTCAAGCATCGGCCGCGCCACCCCGAGCGCACCGCAGAACTTGCACTGCACTGCCTGCACCAAGCAGCGTGCAGCACATGGTTGAACCGCGCACCCTGCTCATCCACAGTGCCATAATCTGACGCGAAGCAGTGTTCACAGGGAGGCGTGCACGCTGACACCGGGTGCGGGCACTGGTGCGGGAAAAGAATGCCTGGCATGTCCTGCACAGTGTCGCTC